TCACTCACAAAGTTGCCATTCTGGCACTTGGGCAGACGCTGGATCTTGGACAGCCAGTTAATCGCTGTCTCTTTTGTCAGTGGCCCCAGCATCTTCCCCACTGTCTTAAGCTGCTCAGGAGTAAACCAGAGCACAGCCCTGTTGGTATCTATGGGCTGGAGTGGGACATGGCTGACCGGCTCATCGTGGGGGACCTTTTTATCTTTGGAAGCCTCTACCTCCCCTACTTGCAGCTGGCACACCTCCTCCCGCAGAGGAGCATAGGGGGACGGCCTGGTGGGGCCATTAGCACCCCACACATCATCCTCATAATCGTAGTGGGGTGGGTGCAGGTCCAGGGAGTCCTCCCCCTCACCATTCCCGATCATGGTCCTCTTGCCCTTAATGGCAGCCACAATGCCCCTTGACACCCCCAGCTCTGCCTCCAGCTCCTGGATCTTGGCATGGCATACCTTGTGATCAGGGCCAGTGCCCCGGTCCCGCTGGACGTCCTGCAGGACCGCCCGCACCGCGCTCTGCGCATCATGGGTCTCCCCAATCCACTTGCCAACCTCCTTCTTCAACTCCTCTGTTTTCAGTTTCTCATAGCCCAGCTTGTTTTCCAGCCGGCTAATCTCCACCGCGCTCCGCAGAGAGTCCCCGCACAAACCCTGCACCTCTGCCCGCAGGTTGTCCACCTGGATTTTGAGCTCCTCCTTGGCCTGCTCCAAGGTCTGCACATTGTCAAGAGCCTCCTTCAGCAATCTGGACAACTCCCTGCCTACCATCAGCAAACCCTGCAAAGCCGCTCGCTTCTTACATTTGTTAGTGGGTTTGGGCTTTTTATTCTCCTCTGACCAGCTCTCCCACTGCTGGCACAGCTGCTGGTACGCATCTGGGCCCTGGAAAGACCCTGGTGACCAGATTGGGGGGAGACACTTCTGGAGCACAAACTGCTCCAGCTTCCAGCTGCTAACAATGTCGCTCATCATAGTGAAGGGGATGGGATCTGAGACGGCTCCGTCTCAGGGCAAAACTACCACAACACACCAGCACTGACAACCTCTTCAACCCCTCCACAGAGCAAGGCTGCAACCCCGCAACCCGCCCCTCCGAAAAGCCCCCGGGGGGACACCGAGCCTGGGCAGAAAGCAAGGGGAAGGTGAAACAGGAGGCCACGGCCGAGCCGGCAGCTGCTGTGAGCCGCCGGCTCCCGGGGAGGGAGCGGGGAAGGGATGAGGGAGCGGGTGAAGAAAGGAGAGACGGAGTAGGACCCCAGTAATAAGATCTCACCAATCCTCAGCTGAATGTTCCGGCAGTCCCAGGAGATTGGAGATGGTCTCTGCAGAGGTCCAGCAGATCTGACACCTTTAAGGTAAAGGTGGTCACGAAGTCTCAGCCTGATGATTTTTATAGCCATGGCAGGTCGTTGTTTGGGGCCGGTGACACCTGTGTTTACTTCCTTGGTGGCTTTTCCTCCTCCATGTACTGCCTTCCCAAGGACACTTTCCTTGTCTTTCTTTATCCTCTTCAACACTGATTAGGGAAGCTGAGATCACACGGCAGCACCTGCACTGCCCCTTATCTGTTTGGGGGGGTCCAGGATTAGTCATGATTCACACTAAACTTCTGCTTGCACCAAATGTCCTGAAGAGGGAGAGCTGGAGCCTGTCCTCTGATCGTCCATCCTTCCAAATCCCTCCATGGCCCACTGTACACCCCATTAGCACCTGGGGTTTGTGAGGAGGTCACACACAAAACTCACACCTGACACCTGTAACAAACACAGTCCCACCAAACCGCCCCCCAAGCACAGATCTATTTGCCAGGGAGGGATGAAATGACAGGAAAATTCAGTCAAGTCATTATTTAGATCCATTTTGGCATCTGGTCTTTAAAAGCAGCATTTTTCCGTGCCACAGCCCAGCTCATCATACACTGGCATGGACCTTGGGGTTACCCTATGAGATGTCAGGAGCCTCCACTGTGGTATTACATCAGCTCAATGGCAGCTGTAAATCTGCACCTGCAAAAGCAGATAGACCCCCCCAATCTCACAATACAAACCACATCTTAACTTGGAGAAGTTTAGAAAATATGACCCACTTGTTTTGGGGTTCCTTCTGCTATTACAGTCAGAAAAAGGTACCAATCGTCTCAGTGAAAAAGCATCATTTTCATTATTATTGATTTTACCTCTAATGAAATACTTCAGAAGCTAAACCCTCCACTAGAATAAAACTACTTTAAAAAAATTTTAAAAGGAAAAAAATATGTCCACACATGGCTGTTGGAGCTCCAGGGAATTTTAATCCTGCACCCCTTTACCCCCAGAGCAGCCCTTATTTCAACATACTTCAGTACTGGCTTGTGTTGGACTGGTCTGGAGGCTGAGCAGCCTTCCCTGACCCCCAAAATCAGTCCTTTTAGCCTCAAAAGCACAGAGAGAATGAATTTTTCTCTATTTTTATGGTAGCTGTTTTCTCTAGCCTGGCATTTACAGCCCAGCTGCAATTAACCTCCTCTGCAGCACGGGAGTTCAACAGAGATGAAGTCCAAGCTGGGTCCTGCTTCTTGGCTCTAAACCCTGTTCTACACCAGTGTTTTGCTCCAGCCCCCCAAAACAAACACTTTATTGTAGGAAACTCATAACAGGGGGAAAAGAAAGAGTGAAAACTGCAGAAAAATTAGTGAAAGCACCAGAAATTAATGGTGTGGTGAGGTGGGCAGGATGCAGGCTGGAAAAAAGAAGAGGGGCTGTTCCCCACTAGAGTAGGATGGGTTCACAAGGAGTTGGTTACACTGGGGACAGGGATGGTTGTCTTTAATTTCATAAAAGAATCAAAATTCCCCTAGAAATTGTGCAGCTTCATATTACAAATACACCAAAACTCAATGATTTCCCCCCCAACATGGCCCAGCCGTGAGCCAAACACTGGTGATTAGGAGCTGCTGTTCCTCAACAAGGTCACCGACAAATCTTGCTTGTGTGAACAGATAAGATCAACTTACACTCTTCTTTCCTCCCATTTTCTTCCCAGGATAGCAGCCCCAAACAGTGTGGGGATGTTATAAACAGCAGCTGTCTCCTGCACGTCCACACAGTGCTTTGATTTTTGTTGGTGATACGCTCCCAGACAAAAGTATTCCTCCTCCAAAATGTTTTCTTGTAGGAGCAACAGCCAGTCCTGAGAACAGCTTGGCCACTGGTAAACAGCAATTTTTTAAAAATTACATTTAATCTGTGTTCCAGTACACTATGCTGTTACATTTCATATATTCCTTTTGCTTTCTCTAAAGCTGCTATAATGTCCTGGGGAGTCATCCCAGTGTAACATCCTCATATCCAAGGTTGTAATGATGGCAAAAGCCACCTCTGAGAACATCTCTTGTCCTTGCCAGGAAGGCAGAAGTTGCTCGAGGTGACAGCAGCAGTGGGAAAAGAGGGACGCAGCCATTGCAGCTGCTGGGGATTTTGGGCTCAGCTCACAAACTTCACCACAGGGATGAAGGAAAAATTCACTTACAGTGGCAGTTCTCATAACAAGCACTGCCTGCCCCCCCACCTCACAAAAAAGAAATGTTTCATCTCACTCTAGGAAGGGCCCAATCTCAGTGTGATGTGAAGCAAAAGGGAACAGATGAGCAGAATGTGAGGACAGCAGAGGCAAGTGTTGCTTCAACCCACATCAAGGGCTCAGCTCTGAAAACAAGAGCTTGGAAGCACTGAAATGAGTTTGAAAATGCTAAAATTGCCTTCTCCTGCCATGAAAGAGCTAAGGATCAATTCAGCTCACCCTAAAGTTTAGCAGATGAGCCTATTGTGGCAAGGGTTTTGCAGTTAGCAACCCGCTTCGAGCAGGAAATCAATTTAAACAGAAGTGGGGAGAGGATGTGTTACAGCAGCATGGAAAAATCTGGGACAAAATGGACCAAAAGCTTACAGTCTACAAGATGCAATATTGTTCTTCCTATTCATCTGCCAGCCCAACCCTGGGGGAGGTTTCTCAGTGCCCTCAAGTGAGATTCCCTTTTCTGAGGAGATGTTGGGGCATCGTAAGGATAACAAGTAACTGCATGTGGGGGACAAAAAAGAAAACTGAATCTCACTCGGCAGCCAATAGGGCAGCAAATAAATAAAAATAATAAGTGATTTCTATTTTTTTCCCAAACATGAAAATATTGAAGCCTGCTGTTCATCTCTGTAATTTCAATTCATGCATTTGTCTTTGAATCCTAAACCCCAAGTGCTTCAAACCTCTTCCTCACAGATATTTCAAAGTCATTCTGATATTTTATCATTTAAGTATTTCTGCCTATGAGCCATGTGCTGTCACAGCTACCAAAGCAGCACATTCTGTGAGGTGGGGAGCCCCAGCAGAATTTCCTCATTTTTGCGGTTTTTCAGAGACAAATTTGTTTGAGGTTTCCTGCTCTTGATTTCAAAGCTTTCTGTGATGCCTCACATCTCTGCTTTATGTTGGGTTGGTCTGGTGTTCAGCATTTTCCAGAGAAAAACACCTCCTGCTATAAATTCTGCTGAAGAAAACAACCCCATGGTTCAAATTGCATCTTTTCCTTGTTTTAATGCTTTTTTTAATTTCAAAAGGAAGGAAAACAGCCAAAATTCATGATTTCCTGCTTTTATCTTTAAGGCCATGGTCCTACATTTGTAATTTTTTGGTAAAAGTAGATTAAAAGAAGGAGTAATAACTAGGTGGTGAAATATGAAGATATCATAATTAAAAAATCAGTGAGTTTTCTTGGTTTTATTTCCAAAAGGGCTTTAAGGGTACCCTGTGAAGTGCTGGAGAAGAGCATAGGGCTGTTGCCCTGATGCACTCAGGTTTGGGGCTCGGTGCAGAAGAAGCTGCTGGGTTGAGGCTCCAGGTGCTGCTGTGGCAGAAGCTCTTTGGCAGCTGCTGGTGAGAGATCTGCACAGAGAGGGGCAAGGACTTCCTGAGGTGAAGCCACCCCTGCCACCAAGGGGTGACAGCCTTGAGGAAAGGGAGAGCTGGCACAAAACCCCTCCGTCACAGAGTCCACCAACATGGTCCAGCCATGGCTCCATCTCTGCATCTGCCTCCAGATCCCAGGTAAGAGGGACACATCTCTTAAGGGTTGAGGGCACCTAAAATCATGCTGGAGCCTCTCTTCCACCACACTCCAGCAGCTGGACGATGGAAGATTAAATATACCATCACACTATAGATCTACAGGATATTATTACCTATTTCCAATAATTTTGGATCATGCTATCCATAACAAGCTTTAGGTGTTGGTCAGTTCCGAACTGGTCAGGAAGCAGGACCAGATGGTTGCTGTGCGTCCCTTCCAACTGAAATAGTCTATTCTATTCTGTTCTATTCTATTCTATATTCTACTCATATTTCAATACATAATGATACAGACACAACAGAGTTTTTGCTGCTCCCTCAGTGCAGATGGACTGTAGGAAGCTGCTAATGGAGAAGTTAAAATAGCTTCTCTCTCCACTGCCTGTGTAACATGAAGATGATAAACATCCCATCAAATTTTCTAAATCGTCCAAAGACTGAGTATTTCCTAAGGGCCACAGCTGGAACTTGTGTGTTATAAAACCATTCTGCCTTACAGGTTCTGATACCCTATAGATCTGTGAGGTGGGAATCCCACTTAGAAAACCTCAATAAATGAGAGTTTGCTTTGCCCATGCAAAAGGAAAAAGGAGCATTTTTAAGCTGCTGCAGGCTGGTCTGGCCAAACACCATGATTCCCCATGGTCCCCTTGAATACACACCAGGAAAGGGAACAGGGAGGTTTTGGGGTTGAAGATATGACTGAAGATGAGTTTTCTGCTCTGTCTCCATCCCAGCTCACTCCTGGCTTGACCACTGGCACTGAGCTGAGATCTTCCAGAATCTCTTCTTATATTTTCTGATTTATATAACTTAGATAGTGTCTCCAACAGGTCAAGGATAAGTTTTCATGAAGAGTTATGTTTCCCATGCCCAGCAGAGCCAGACTTCAGGGTACTCAAGGAGACCCTGAAGCCCCCCTGTGCCGTGGCCACACACATTTCATCTTCTAAAAAACACACAGGTGTTTGCCAGGGCAAAATTTGAGAGAATTATGCTCCAAAACCTTAAAATTATATATTTTAATAATAAGGAGACATTAATGTTGTCACAGAGCCAGAGGATACGGTGAAATGCTCCAGCTGCTGTGCAACACTTGAATTCTGGCATTGCAATGTTAGTGTTCTGCAGGACTGGCAGTGATAGGGCCATTGGTGTGGGAACAGAGGAAGGCTCTGGACCCCTGTCAGTTACCAGAGCCCTCTTCTCTTCCCATTGGGAACATGGGAGACATCAGGACCTTGTGCCACATTAATGGCTTTAGGTGTTCTTGGGTCATCCCCACAGCACGGGGTTAGCAGGGCTGCATGAGCCTGAAAAAACTGCTGTACACAACTTCAGGATTTTGAAGAAAAAGGAACATTTTAAGGTAAAAAAAAACAAGAAACATATATTATTGAGCTGTTTGCACAGCTTTAAAACATGCCTGGGAAAGAGACGGGGGAAGCAGGAGTGTCCTTATCTTCAGAGGGCTGTTTTTCACTCGGTCTCAGAGTATCTGCAGCTTTGCAGGACTGTTTGCTGAACAGCAAGGATCACAAGTTACCTGTTTTCCTTTCCACATGGACACATCCTCACTCACACAGACACCCCTCACATCTGCCTGGGCCAAACAAGACTCAGATAATTTCCACAAAAGCTGCAAAGCCCAAACAGGGATTTGGTGATGCCAAACCAAAGCTTTGAACTCCACCACTGCCCCTCACTCCTTCTCCTTCCCCATGTCTCAAAATTCCTTTGAAAAATATCACTGTCTGAAAACTAATATCAAATTGGCTCATTTTGAGATATTTTGCACATCTTTTGGTCTCTTTTTCTGCCCCTGCAATGTTTATGGGAGTTACATCTGTTAGAAGAATAACCTGGCAAACCAGTTAAGAGGCACAAAAAATTTGTTGGAAAAGGGGTGAAATGTCTGAAAAATGAGAAAGGTAAGGAGGGCAGGAGAGGGGCATCCACAGGAGCAGGCAGGGATGCTCTTCCCTTCACATATAGCCCTGAGGACACCCTCAAAACCATCCCTCCATCCCTCTCCCTGCCAGTGAGCCTTCTCCCTAGATGAGTGTCATAGAGAAAAGTCTGCCTGTATAATTTGGCTTGGCCAAAAAAATAGCTGGAGAACCCAAAAAGGCCTCTGAGGGAATATGGGAGCATCCTAATAAAAATGCTCCTGTTTCTCACTTCTGTGACCCCCCTGGTCTATGTGTCTACGTGATTTTATTAAGCCCATAAAGAAAATGTATACTTTGGACGAAAGAAAAATAATGAAATTAAAATAATAACTGTATATTTCTCTTTTTCCTTAGGTTTTTATACACTTTTAACCCAAACTCCAGAGCACCTTCTAACCCAAACTAACAGTAAAACCGAAATGCTCTGTGAGGTGAAGAAGGAGCATACCGGGGTGTACTGGTACCGCTGGAGCCAGGAGAGGCAACGTTTCGAGTTCTTGGTGTTTTCCAACATGCTGGGCAAAGCCACGTATGGCACAAACGTGAGCCGGGACAAATTCAGTGTCCATGAGGCAAGAGCCCACAGCTCCTACAGCCTGCACATCAGCCACCTGCATCCCTCAGACAGCGGCACTTACTACTGCTCCATCTCCCAGTCCTCCCAGCTCCTCCTGGGCAGTGGGACACAGCTCAGAGTGGGTAAGCAGCACCCTCGGGGTTCCAAAATGTGCCACCAGTAGGCTGTGATGAGGCCCCCTGGGAAAGTTTTTTCCCCAGTTTTGAGTTGTAAGGTTGGGGCTCTGGGGATTT